CTAATAAACCAAAATAAATCATTTGCCAAACATGTGAAAGAAGCTCATTTTGTGGGTTACGAGCCTCAAAAATGGCTTATAAGCCACCTTGACCACTTGTCAAACACTCTCATAGATAATTCATAACTTGAATAAGCCAAAAACTAACACCAAGGTAGAAATACTGACGGAATTTGGAGGATTAGGTTTACCCACTCTACATCCTTAAAACTCAAATCAGAATCACATTCTATATGTCTACATGCTACTTATTTCTAATAAAGCAGGGGAATACTTAAAAAATAGGATGTAAAACATAATATTGAGCAACACATGTAGCCATGTAGGTCAATAGAATAAAGGTTATCAAAAAGAAAATACAAAAGCTAACCATGAAAATCACTAATAATTGTACTACTAGGTTACTACATAATTCCTTGCTAACAGGATTCATAGACTAAAAAGAAAAATATACTGATCGACAATTTGAAGTACTTCGTAAAACTTTAGAGGACCTAATGTAACATAAAAGCCAATGCACACCTTTACGGGTCATCTATAGCAGTGTGGTGTGTGCTCAAAGCTCAGAGACTGCTGATAGGCTGGAGCCTGCATAAGTTGAACATGAGGACTACTTAAAGACATGAAATTATCAGTAAAACTACAAGGGTTATTTCACTTAAATACCCCAAAGTTTACTCCATTTTTAATTTAACAAAATATACCCAAAATATACCCAAAGTTTGCATCATTTTAACTTTGACACCTCATAGCTTTCTTTTACCCAAAGTTCTAATTTACCCAAAATATTGCCCAAAGTTTGCATCACTTTAACTTTGATACCTCGTAGCTTTCTTTTACCCAAAAAGTACCACAAAGTTCAACAAAATTGAACGTTGATATTCCAAGCTTTAATGAAAAATCTAACTTTGATACCCCAAAAATTTAACAAAAAATTTAATTACAAGTTAAATTTGCCCAAATTTAAGGGTATTATATGGGGAAAAAGAAACTTTAAGGTATCAAAGTTAATACTGGGGTAAACATTGGGTACTTAACTGCAAATAACCCAAAATACTATATTTCACACGGGTTGGTAATATATACCTGAGGCATTGCATGTCTGAAATGCCCATAAGATTGTGCATACATCATAGTAGGGCAAGGCCATTGCATATAGTTGCATCCAAAAGCACATGGTGCAGTAACAGCTGTGTTTGATGGCGCGTAGCTGATAGGATTGTGATTCCTCAACAAATGACCAATTTGAGGGCATGCTTCATACTGAACGAGGGGAGGCTGAGTGACATTGCATAGACATAATGCCGAATTCTGGGTCGTTGTAAGACCTCTCACATACCTAGAAAGATTTAATGTATGCATCAATTTAATTTCATACAAATGGCAACAGGTACAAATATAACAAGAGTTAATTGCACATATACCCCTGTATTATGAGGGTGTAGCCACTTATACCCTCCTGAATTATATTCGGTTTAATCGCGGACAGACCCCCAAATTGAACTTATCAGTTACTAACCCTGTAGCTCTATATTTATTGCAGATAGAGCCCCTGAAGAGTTCTATCTTGAAGATAGACCCCCTGAAAATGGTCTAAAAATTTAACCAGGATCTAACTTCAACAATAGAACTACAGGGGTAGTAGTTTTTTCAAAGGCGGGCGCCTCACTGCCCCTCATGCGCCTTACAATACGGGGCGGTGGCGTAACGCCCCACTTCTGATGCAGCAGCGCCTTTTGCGCCTCACATCCTTTGTGCAGGGTGCATGTAGTGCATATCCTCATATAGTTTTGTTTGTTAACATTTCAATCGTGTCTTTATACTTGATATTCCATATCCAAAAAACAAAATAAATCCATTAGGCCTTTTTAGTAGCCTTCAATTGAGGGTCATTACTAATCCTTTGCTCGGATATTAGTCTTGATTTAACATTTGATTTAAAAAATTATGAATTTTGCTACTATGTTGGGTGTTAGCATTAGAAATTAAGGCATTATATTGTGATTTTGTAGTAAGATATTATTTATCATGACATTTTTCATGTGAATTCTAAAAACATGTTCTTTCGCACATGATTATATATTTTAAAAAATTATGTGGGCGATGTGCGCCTCACATCACTCTGGCACGCGGATCGCATTGCGCCTTGCGTATGTGCGCATAAAGATGTTGTGCGTCCCACATTGCGCCTTGCGCATTGATAACACTGGGGGTAGTAAGTTCAATTTCGTGATGGTACAGGTTGTCTATCCGCAATTAACCCATTATTTTATTAGCAAAAAAATGCACCCCCCTGAACTGCAGACGGTATTATATTCCCTGTTTAATTGAGATGTCAGATAGAAATCGTGTGGCAATAACTTACCCTTTCCCTTCAGTTTAAATTGAAAAAGGACTAAATTACCCTCAAAACAGAGGAGAAAACAGTAAATGCCATCTTTGATTCATGGGGTAATAGAATACTTCAGAGGGTACAAGTGCCTATACCACCATAGTACAGGGAGGTATCTGCAATTAACCTTAATGACAATTATATTAGCAGCAACTCTGACACTTACGGCTTACCTGTTGTAACTACGGTCATAATCTGGATCAAAACGATCCTTTTCTTGGTCCCTGAGAATAGCAACTTTGGAAGCAGCATCATGCGCCTTTTCACTCTCACCAAATGTCCTAACAGAGCATTCTAATAGCTCTATATTTATTGCAGATAGAGCCCCTGAAGAGTTCTATCTTGAAGATAGACCCCCTGAAAATGGTCTAAAAATTTAACCAGGATCTAACTTCAACAATAGAACTACAGGGGTAGTAGTTTTTTCAAAGGCGGGCGCCTCACTGCCCCTCATGCGCCTTACAATACGGGGCGGTGGCGTAACGCCCCACTTCTGATGCAGCAGCGCCTTTTGCGCCTCACATCCTTTGTGCAGGGTGCATGTAGTGCATATCCTCATATAGTTTTGTTTGTTAACATTTCAATCGTGTCTTTATACTTGATATTCCATATCCAAAAAACAAAATAAATCCATTAGGCCTTTTTAGTAGCCTTCAATTGAGGGTCATTACTAATCCTTTGCTCGGATATTAGTCTTGATTTAACATTTGATTTAAAAAATTATGAATTTTGCTACTATGTTGGGTGTTAGCATTAGAAATTAAGGCATTATATTGTGATTTTGTAGTAAGATATTATTTATCATGACATTTTTCATGTGAATTCTAAAAACATGTTCTTTCGCACATGATTATATATTTTAAAAAATTATGTGGGCGATGTGCGCCTCACATCACTCTGGCACGCGGATCGCATTGCGCCTTGCGTATGTGCGCATAAAGATGTTGTGCGTCCCACATTGCGCCTTGCGCATTGATAACACTGGGGGTAGTAAGTTCAATTTCGTGATGGTACAGGTTGTCTATCCGCAATTAACCCATTATTTTATTAGCAAAAAAATGCACCCCCCTGAACTGCAGACGGTATTATATTCCCTGTTTAATTGAGATGTCAGATAGAAATCGTGTGGCAATAACTTACCCTTTCCCTTCAGTTTAAATTGAAAAAGGACTAAATTACCCTCAAAACAGAGGAGAAAACAGTAAATGCCATCTTTGATTCATGGGGTAATAGAATACTTCAGAGGGTACAAGTGCCTATACCACCATAGTACAGGGAGGTATCTGCAATTAACCTTAATGACAATTATATTAGCAGCAACTCTGACACTTACGGCTTACCTGTTGTAACTACGGTCATAATCTGGATCAAAACGATCCTTTTCTTGGTCCCTGAGAATAGCAACTTTGGAAGCAGCATCATGCGCCTTTTCACTCTCACCAAATGTCCTAACAGAGCATTCTAATTCATCAGATGAAGTCATAGAACAGCCTTCTTCTCTGGAGATAGGACTGTTGAAGATACGGGCCCGTGCCTTTTCATACTCTTCCTTCCTCTCCTCAACCGTTCTCATAGAATTCTTCCTATTTTCAAGCTCTGTTCTATCGCTTAAAGAAGTTTTACTAGGTCTCTGACGAATGGCAATCTTCAATTGTTCTGTGACTTTATTTTCTGTTTGCTTGGCAGGAATTTCTGATAAACATACAGTTGGGAATTTACTTCCCGGTGTTTTTATGGCTAAGATTTTGCTTCCTAGTGTACCCAAAGAATCTATAGTGTTGTCAAGAGAAAATGTTTGGAGACCATAATGTTGAGCAACGCGGTGAGCCGCACATCTCAGATATGAGGTTGGTAGATGATGGAATTCAAATTGGTGTTGATTAGGATTCCGCACGAACTTCTGGATGTCTAACTCCATCCGTAAAACTACAATTCAGAAGGAGACTAAATCAGTTAAAACCCAGAAACTATAGGGTATTGCATGAACTTCTACACGTCCAAGCCCATACATAAATCAATTTTGATTAAAAAAATTAGCAAGCACAAAGAAAGTATATGTTAATTTCAAATCCTGACCTAAAAGTTATATGCACCCGGAAAAAGAAAACAAATTTTATACAGTTTTATCTGCACAAATAGTTAAATACAGCCGAAAACTGTGCATCCCTAAACCTTTGGAAGAGATACAAGCAAGTTTAACACCGTAGTAAAACGAAAGGAAAAAAAAATCTGCCCCTATTCTTTAGGAAAGCAAACATACTTATGGTCGAACTGAATACTTACATATGTATAGAAGTGATTAATGCTCAGTCATTCTCAAGAAATGAGTCATTCAATAGAAGGTCCCAAGCCAGTGCAACTCTTACGACCCTCGTATGTTATTCAAGAAAAAAATAACTGAAAGGTACAGTCCTTCCTCGCCAAGAGTTTTTTGAGGTTTTCTTTTCAAACAAATTTAATACTCAATGCGGTTTTCTGCACATGCAATGCACACATGCCCAAAAAAAAACTTCCGAATGTTATACATGTGAAGTTAATTTGTTATGACTTGTGTCTATACTTAGCATATGTCATACTTAATTATTGTCCAAGATTGAATATATCTATCCGTAAATCATTATATCAGTGTATGTACAGATACACATTTATCATTTTACAAATTTGAAAATTAAGATATAATTAATTTATGAGTCTTATGCCTCACTTCACATTAGGGTCCAATGCTTCTCCTTGCACTTCCACCTTTTTAAAGATAGTTGCAAACCAATCCAATCACAATCTCTTAGGCAAGTAATTTAACACATTAAAACCACTCAATACAGAGAGACATACTATTCTGCACTACTTTTAGCTCCCCCTTTTCATCACCTAATCTTATTGACATGGTCACCCACAACCTCAAGCTCAGGATGGAGTCTAAACTTAAACCCTCAAAAAAATAAACAGTTCCCAGCATACAAAGATTTGATTTGATAAGTAGCAAAGGAAGAAGAGTTATTATAGCCAACAATGTTCATTGCTCAATGAATCCTTTCCCTTTTGGCTGTAACAATTGCTTGACCAGAATACATAATTTCCGCCTTATAATCCGATGTTAGACAAATTATGCTACAACTGTGTTTTCCTACATACCCTGCCCGCCATATGAACCACATTTTCCCAAAATTACCCCCGAAATGATATTCGCTAATTTACCCTCTACCAACTTGAGTTAAAATACCCTGTAAAAGTTTCATGTTACATGGTATTCCTATGTTCCATTGTGATAGTTCAGCAGAAATTCCTTTCTCCCGCCCCTCAAAAACCAACAATGTGAAGTTTGGGGTATTTTTAACTCGATTCAATAGAATTTGGGGTAAATTATCAAATACACAAAAAAAATCTATACTAAATCAGCAAAGGGACAGAATAACCGAAGCTTGAATCCTTGGATACTTGAACTTCAATCTTCGTACGTGTTCCGTATCTGTTTGCTTTACAAATATAAAATTTAACAATAAAAATATTCAGGACACTCAACCCAAGTTAATAACTAAAAACCCAGGAAACTACTAATCAATTAGGAAGTAAAACTACACTAAACTGAACTAGAGACGCAATTAGATGTATAAAAAAATCCAAGAAAAAATCGACGAAAATTCGAACCAGTCAACCGATGTCGAGGGTTCTCGAGGGCCTCGACGAGGAAGGGATCTACGTGGGATTCCATCGCTCGAAGAATCGAGAGAGAGAGAGAGAGAGAGAGCAAACTCTGGTTCTCCCCTCTCGAACCTTATCTCTTTTTTTCCCACTCCCTGTAGTTTTCATTGCTTTTTTATCTGAGTAATAATTGGGTGGCTGCTACAAGACGAAAAGGCGATTTGATGGCAACTGGAGAGATCTCGACCGTTGAAATTTTTTACAAGATTTTATCCTTTTTCTAGTTTGCACTTGGACCCATGATTTCGGCGGATTATTTTGTTTTAGGACTTTACTTATATTATATTTTGTTGTTTCCAAAATTATTTTACATTTATCAAATTTTTCAAAAGGACTTTTCTTTTTTGTATATATACCCCAAAGTATGTGCTATTGATAGTATTTTTTTAATCAGATCTGGTCATTTGTTAATTCACCCCTAGTACTGCTCATACCCTAAAGTTTAGGACTGAATTCGCTTTGGTGTCAAACGTCTGAAAAAAATGCATTTTGTTTTAGGATTTTACTTACTTATATTATTTTAATTAGACTTCGTTGTTTCTAAAATTATTTTACATTTATCAAATTTTTCAAAAGATTTTTTGTTGTATTATATATACTCCGAAGTATGTGCTATTGGTAGACTACTTTAGTCAAATCTGACAATTTGTTAATTTATGTCTAGTGCTGCTCACACATTAAAATAACCCGCTAATTAGCTTATGATCACTTTGATACCCCTAAAGCTCACCCATTTTATCACTATGATACGCAAAAGTTTTTTTTTTTTTCCTGTCACTTTGATACCCCTAAAGTTTAGAACTCAATTCACTTTGGTGCTAAACGTCCGCAAAAATGTTTGTTTTTCTGTGAAAAATGTAAATTTGAGCTTTCTCTTTGTTTTTATGAGCAGCTCGGCCTTACCCACTGCTTTTGTTTTTGGTTTCAGTTTTCTACCCTTTTGTAACATAAAAATGCAACTATTGACACAACAACGCAATATTTCCAACGTTCAAGGCAAATATTCATGCTCACAAAGGGGGAAAAAATAGGTTTTTTTTATACATCCCCCAATTCTTCTTTAATTTTAAATAAGTCCCCAGACATATTTTAAAAACGTTGCCAAACCCCTTATTAAGTTCTACCAAAAATCACCCCCGCAAGGTGGGTCTCCTGGTCAGCTCCCCATGGGGAGAGAGATTCTCCCAGGCTTCGTGCCCGTTGGTCAGGAGTTCGAATCCTTGTTATCGTTTCACCTGGTTTCCTCAGATATTTAGGGGGTTGGGGAGACCCGTTGCCTCTGGTCAGTAGCGGCTCGACCCGCTGTATTGTTGGGGACTGGGGGGATTCGAACCGGGGTGCAGCGGACTCCAAAAGGGAGTTTAAGTAGAGGTGCTGACCGGGGTTCCCTCGTCACCAAAAAAAAGTTCTACCAAAAATCCATATCCATCTTTTGAGAGACTTAACTTGAAATTTATAAAGAACAACTGGGAACCTATAAGGCTGTAAACAAAAAAATAACCCAAAAAGTTTCCTGTCACTTTTTTTTATAGTTGCTACAGTTTATATACTGTACATATGTACAATATTGCAGATAACGGCAACAATAAACTCTAGGTGCTACCATAACATATAGCACCCAGTGTCACACTGGCTTATGCAATAAACATTTCACTTCAACAACTTAATTTCTTCGAGATAAACCGCCAACTAAAATTTGCTCAGAACATATGAAATACTATTCATTGCACCGTAAGAGTAGATTTTATCATGTCGCCTAATCACTCTTATCAGATACTTATAAGAAAAATAAATTAATCCGAAGCTGCCAAGTTAACAAATATACAAAAATACATACTCCAATTTTAAGACCATAGCCTGTCAAGTTTCTTTTCCCCTTCTCTTTCACTTCGAGATGGTGAAGTTTATATATGGAAAGAATCAACCATGGCTTTCAGAGTTTTTTGAGAAGATGACCATTGCTTGTCATTTGCACTCGCCGCGAATAAAATGACTGTGTTTCCTTTGGCAGTTGCCTTTGCGAGATTGTGCGAACCTGTCAATGCGAACGGAGTCTCGAGCACATAGGTGTAGTACTGCAATTCGTCAAAGAAAGATTTATATCAAATACTTAGCTATCGAAACAGATGAATCCAGAGTCTATGGACGTGCAATGCTGCAAACTACCACATATAATCTATCTGCTGTCTTTTTTTTTATTTCCTCTCTTTTAACTGACGTTTCATATTGTAGAGCATTTAATAAAGATGGCAAGTTCCTTATCTACGGTTGGAATCATGACATACAACGCAGCGGAAAAAGCATATCATGACTATTAATCAAAATTAATTGAATATTAGAAGAATACCTGAAACGCTTTCCGAATTTCTACAATAATCTGTCCCAAGATCAATTCAAAATAGCTTCCTCAAGAGAAAAAGCTTCCAATTGAAATCCACCCGTCACCGTAGAGGAGCAATACTGAGAGATAGGTTCTCAAAAATCTATTTCTTCATATTATCTTCATAAGATTTTCAATCTCATCTATCTCTCCTATTTCTCTCATAAGGCTACATATGCACCCTATTTATAGGATTACACTAGTCTTAGAGATTTTAACTTTAAACAATTCATAATTATGTAGAACTCTATCCATAACAATTAAGGATAGAATAGATTTGTTCAAAAACTTTATCCATAACAATTAAGGATAGAAATAGAATTGTATTGCATGTATACCTCTTCTAATGACATTAGTGAGACCAATTGGGTCCCATATCGAGAACCAATTATTAATCAAATTAATAATTTTAATTTAACAATCAAATCCCTATCCGACCAATTGTTCATAAAAGCTCTTCCATAATATGGGATTAATTATTAATAAATAATATCTTACATTCAATCCCTTCCAGTATCATTTATTCTAGGCAACTCTTTTAAGTAGGACAACTCACCTATTTGCTCATGTCTAAATTTGCAATTCCCATGAACATAAATAAAAATTATTTTGAAACATCAAAATATTTTATTTTTTATAAGAAAATAAATTTTTAAAAATATTTTCAAAAACACCTGCCGGCAGGAATTTAATAGCTTCATGAGAATGCATAATAAATTAACTCATCATAATGAGCATACTGGATCCTATCTAGACATCCATCATTTTCCTAAATGAAATTTAGCAACCCAATGTTTCAGGTTGTGTAGCGCTTGCTAAACAAGCTTAACCATCACATCAAAGCATACTAAATTATCAAATCGAAAATAACAATATCATCAAGTCAAAGGGACCATGTAACAATTTAAATTCTCTATCTCTTAGGTGACTCATCCTAGAGAATTCAAATACGGTCTAGTGCTACACATATCATAATACGTGCTTATGACATACACCCGGAGAATCTCCATTCCCGATGGTTGAGATCCACCACCATATCTCATATATCGGTATCATGCATAATAATCTGTTATAACAAAGTTATCATTTACTAGTTATAGGTTAAGCACAAATTTAAGAAATTTCTAAGTTAGATCAAAGTTATCATTTACTAGTTATAGGTTAAGCACAAATTTAAGAAATTTCTAAGTTAGATCATATCTCCAAGCAAGTGACCATCACAGTGCATGATCTAACAAAATAACTTCTAAGGATATATATATAACAATTATATAAATAATACCCAAATAATGTGCAACAATTAAATTTATTAACATTACAATATTATTACATAATTTGTATTGGATGTTCAAGGACAAATTATTATTACTATTCCAGCAATCTCCCATTTGCCCTAACATCCAATCAGATGTAATCCTTACTCCCATCTGTCAAAAACATTTTAAGACAATGGTCTATAAAAGGATATTAAATGTTATCTGCTCAGCCATCTATTAAACCATAACATGTTTCTTCTTATTAACCTTTAATAAGATAATTTTTCTTTCTAAGCTTCTTGCAACATCTTCATTACTATCAAATAATAATGAGAAAGGAAATTATTACAAGAAATAATATTAAGCTTATGGAGTAACTCATTAATCCATATTCCTTCTTTTAATGATTTAATATGGCACTACATATTCTGCTATTATTATTAATGATATAAATATAACACGAAACAGACTTTCTATTATTAGGATTGGATTGAAAACTACCTACAAGATCAATAGCAACCTTTTTGGGACACATTTCCTTAAAGAGAGATTGTTTAGGAACCATTCTTTTCTTGGAATCTTGTTAAGTTGAATCTTCTATGGATCTTATCCATATAAGTAGATTGTGACAACTCTATATATCTATTTCTCTATCTATATAGAGTTTAAGATCTACGATATAGAATGTCAAAAGAAAATCCTTCATAAAGAACTAAATCATACTTTTAATCATGACATTAAAATATCATTCTTAATGAGCAATATGTCATCAACATGCAATGATAGGAATATAATGGACTTACTTTATTGTTCCTTATACACACATTTTTTTTAAGGATATGATCAATCATTCATCAAAATGAATGTTTGATTGATTAAGTTCATAACTTTAATTGATTCAATTAATCAATTTTATCTTCTTGAATTTTACATTCTTGGTTCTATAATATGTAAATATCTTCTTAAAGATATCCATTCAAGAAGGTTATTTTAAAATCTATTTATTGATATCTTATATTCATAACACGTTGAAATGACTAAATGGATCCTTATGAACTATAATATTACAATTAGAGGAAAATATTCTTCAATAATTAATACCCGTTTGTCATCAATATGACATCAGGTCTCTTACATGAAATCATGTCCAACATGACTTTAGTGTAAGTTTTAGGATTTATATTTTCCTTGTTACTTTTCATCAAATATATTTTAACAAGGCTACTGTACTATACAGGTGGATGAAAATCCTATTTGATCTCCTAATTGTAATCAGTGTATTCAACAAAAAATTTAGTAAGTAAATCTCCATTTACTTTATTACTTAAAGCTCCCACTAAATTTATACAATCTTCAACTCATTTGAAGTTTCTCCCACTGGATTAAATAACTCTCCCACTAAAGAAAACATATTTTCTTCTTGAGTTATATAAATCCTAATCATCAAGCTTGACTTTATAAAAGAACATATTTCTAGTAATAACTATTGTCTGAAAACTACACTAGGATTATCAATATAATACCTAGTACTTTCTTTAGGATAACCTACTAGTAGGATGTTATTTACCTTAGACTCCCATTTTGTCCATATTTTATTCTCTGATGAGAATATGACAACTCCAGATCTCTAAGCGTCATACACTTAATTT